TCAGGGTAATCAACTGTTAAAAACACACTGTTCACATTTTTTTTCTCCAATAAATGGATGTTTTCAAAGTTAATGAATAATCGCATTCACAGTTATTNGCTGCCCAAAAGCTGCTAACTGCTAAGGTTCATTATTCGTCATACGAACAAAGCTACAGAGTAGTTATGTCGATGAAAATCTTAGGTCACAGGCAATACCCGTCAATAATCGGGGGGGTCCCCATCTCCCGTTTATTGCGCAACATACCGGTCGAAGATTTCTCAATATGCAGTGGGCCTATACAATACTTCACGGATGCTAGCCAAGACAATCAGTAGTCCATAGCAGCGTTTCTCAACCGGGGCGCCGTGTGGCGTCTTCAGGGGTGCCGTCAAATAATTCTGACGTTCATATGAATGAATTAATACACGACCATTAAAGAACCGTCTGTTTTCGATTCTATGCGAGGAAATGCTTTTGCCAGCAAAAATAGAAGATATGTGAATAAATGTTTTGAATTATAAATACTGGACATAGTAAGCTTATAAACATGTTAGTGACCATTGCAAGTGACAAATAAATATTATAATTTGAGACCCCCCTCAAATTTAGCTGTTGAGGCTTTCAGGGGGGCTCAGGTGTTAATCAGGGGGGTGGAGCTCCCCCGGACCCCCCCGTATTTCGCACACTGCTCTTAACATCCCTATAGCAATGAATACATTAAATGCTTTGACAATAAATACATTAAAAAATATCATCTGTGGAAGCCGTGGCGCTGTGAAAAGCACGACCAATCATCTGAGCCGGCCCGGCTAAAGTAACTGGATGGCCTACCTGCCTGTCAGCCTTCCATCTGTGCACAAACTTATCTCGTGCCCTCATTGGTCATGTGCGCGTTCGTTCGTGTGTGTTGGAGGAGGGGCTCTGTAAGGAAGTCTGAAGGAAGGGGCAGATTTTTTCTGGTTGTGTATTTTCAAATTCAAGCGCACTCGAGCTGGTTTATCCATTCTTACCTACCCTACCTTTTTAAGTGTGTAATGATGTATAGATACAACAAAGTAAGAGGAAAAAATATAACTATTTATAATATAATGTATGTTATTATGTCCGATTAGATTAGTTGTTTGAAATGTTTTTACGGTTTTTCTTCCACAGTTTGTTTTGAACGTCTTTGTCTTCACTTCATTAAAAGGCATTCGGCCTAGGCTTTACCCAAAGTAACTTACATCCACTTCAATACGTTGAACCGATTGAACCAGTGACCTTATTTGCAGATCTATCTGCGTATTCGTATTCTGTACGTCAAACAATATATAAGATTGATCAGCTGACAACTGACTCATTTTGATAGGCAGCAGATTGATTATTGCTTTAAACCCCATTTATGTAAAATCATGTCGTATATTATGGGATGTTTTTGGCCTTAATGAACAGTTTTGTGTTTGTCAGGACTCAAGGGCACCAAGGATGAATCGGAGGTCGGCACTGCGGCAGACTCGGACCACACGAACCACCCCCCGCCTGCCAAGCTGCTGCAGGACTGGGCCCGAACCCCGCTGCCTCACGTCTGCCCGTACTGCGGAAAGACCTTCACCCGGAGAGTCTTCCTGCGTACACACGTCTACAGCCACACCGGAGAAAAGCTTTTCACGTGCAAGGTGCCAATCTCCATGTTACGATAATATTTTATTGGTTTATCTGATATTTGACTTGCATCACAGCAGCTCCATGTGTAACATCAACATGGACACATTTCAATACACAACACATGAAAAACAAACAGTTAAAGGTCACCTATTATGCAAAATCCACTTGTTCATGTCTCTTCTACATCAACATGTGTCCCCTCTGTGTAAACAGATTCTTAAAGTTTCAGGAACAAAGATTCTCTCTCTTTTTGTCCTGATCCATTTATATAAAAACCTGTCTGAAAATGAGCTGATCAGATTTTGGCCACTTTATGATGTCATAACGATGTTTTGACTTGAGTAACCATTAGCCAATCAGCAACCAAGGTAACCCCCCCCCCCTCCCCACCTTATCACCTGAATCTCCTCCTAGAGCACCATTGTGTTCTTTTTAACCAAATCTCTCTCAGAGGGGCGTGGGGAGGGGCTCCTTATTTTTTATCTAAAGTAACAGACAGAGAATCAGCACTTTGGAAACAGAGGGGATGATGGGTAATGCTGCAATGATCTGTTTGGTGTTTGGAGCCAAACACTTCAGAGACATGTTTTGTATATATCTGAGAGCTATAATATATTGATGAAAAACAGTAAAATAGGAGACCTTTTTAAAATAACAACACAATCATTGAGAAAACCTTGCGTGCATTTGATCTGGGAGCTCTGTATTTACTGTGAGGATTGAATGATGCACCAAGGAGTGCTTCAGTCTGACTTTATTGAATCGAGGGACCCTGTATCTCCAAAGTGTTCAAAGTTTGTCCTTTCTTGAACATGAGAGATAATTTTATCTGTTGGAAATGCCATGTACGTCATGCGGCAGAGATAAGAGATAAGAGAGATGATGTAATGCTTTTGAACTGTGCGATGATTTGAAGCTCATTATATTTGACATATTCTCCATGGTCTCCGCACGATGCTAAGAAAGTTATAATATCAGCAAGTGTAGCCTTTTACAATTTGATTTATTCCCTTACAAAAACTGTTTTTGGCACTGATCCTGATTGTTGTTGTTGTTCTTGTTGTTGTTAAGGTTTGCACAAAGTCCTTCACTAACTCCCAGAGCCTGTTGCGCCACAGCATGAGCCACACGGGCAACAAACCCTACAGCTGCGACGTTTGTGGCAAAAACTTCTCTCAGGCAGCCACCCTGAAGAGACACCAACGCATTCACACATCCACCCTGCCTCGACGCAAGAGGGGACGCAAACCGGTACAGTCCCTTTCCTTTTCTCTTATTCTTTCTCACATCGTTCAAACAATCCCTCAAAACTCACCTTTTCACTCTTGCCTTCAAATCCACTAACCCCTCGCCCTTATTCCACCTGGCTTAGCACCTTTTACTTTTGTTGTTATTCTGTTTTACTTGCTTGTAAAGCGCTTTGAGCACCAGGAAAAGCTCTAGATAAATGTAATGTATTATTATTTATTATTTGTAATAAAACGCCTCTCAATTTGAAGGGTTTAATTTTGAATAAAAAAAAGTTTTCAATAGAAAGCTGCATATTAATTAGAACTGCAGAATTTGAAGACAATGACTATTATTTTGTATTGTGATGCTTTGGCAACATTGTTTCATTTAACTTTCATGCCAATAAAGCCCCTTTGAATTGAATTGAATTGAAAATTGACTAACGGGTATAAGTATTTATTTTAGTAGGCTCTGTACCAAACATTTGAGTTTATTTTAGTTTAGTCTGTAGATACAACTGAACATCTGCAGAATCTTCCCAATACTTACATTACTACTGCATTAAATACTTTAAGGTTTTTATAATGTGCTTCTTCCACATTTAATATTTGTATTTGGATAACATTTTGATTATCTCTGCAGCTCTTATATTAATCAACATTTGCTGTGTGGAAATGATTCGAAGAGATGCATCTAAATGTGTTTTTTATCACACTTTTGAAACCTTTAAAAAACATAAAAAATCCGTATATTTTCGGCTGTAAAATCATATTTTTTCCTGACTTCTGTGTCCCTTATTGCAGGCGTGTACTCTGGACAATGAAGGAGCCGCTCATCTGTTCCCGTGTCCTAACTGCCCGTCACGCTTCAACACGGAGGATCAGCTTAACCATCACAAGTAATAACACAACAACAACAACAACACTTTAGTAACACTAGTCTTTCACAGAGGTGGAAGAAAAAAAGAAATACTCAAGTAAAGAATCTCAAAATTGTATTTAAGTACAGTACTAGAGTAAATGTACGTAGTTACTGTCCACCACTGGTTTAGCATTCTGTATTTGCAGGAGTGTAGGTGTAAATGAAAACAACACATCCATTACATACCATACATTATATTCACCATTTCCCCTCCCTGTTTACGGCGTAAATACATCAGCACTACGGTTCCAAACTGAACCCAGGACAGGATAGAGATAAACCTCCAGCCTCTGCCCGGAGCTTTAGTATCTGAGTCGTGTCTGACTGCTGAGCGAGACCTTAAAGCTGTGGAGAAACCCACCGACTGAGATGTCTGGCTGCCCTTGAGACACATATGATTGACAGACAGAGGCCCAGCAAATTAAGATGATTAAGATAACAACCCAGGACGGGGGCAGAGCCTGGTCCTGTCCTGCATGGCTGAGCAAGAGAGAACGGACATGGTGTGTGTGTGTGTGTGTGTGTGTGTGTGTGTGTGTGTGTGTGTGTGTGTGTGTGTGTGTGTGTGTGTGTGTGTGTGTGTGTGTGTGTGTGTGTGTGTGTGTGTGTGTGTGTGTGTGTGTGTGTGTGTGAGAGCTGAATGTAGTGCTCAGCGGTATGGAGAAAAGTCAAACGTCAACGTATTTTTGATGAAATACTTTGATATTGTAGCCAGTGTTTCCTCCAGGGCTGAGAGGGCGTCCACCCCGAGAGCGGGGGGGTGTCACGTGACTTGAACTTTGAATTGAGCCTTCCCTTATAGATACTATCTCTTTACGTATTAGTGATAATCATTTGGCTCGGCTCACTAAGAAGAGCCAGCTCCCAAGCGGCTCTTCATGTTACCACGGAGCCTCAGTTTAGCCGCTGGAAAAGTACCACCTCTCTAGCAGGGGACTGAAAAGGGGGGAAAAGTTCTCATGAACTAAGTTCTCTTTTTGGTGAGCGCAAAATCCCAGGAACTATCGGAACTAAAACGGAAAAGCACTCCGGTGTGAAAGCGCCTTTTGTGGTTCATTCTCAAGGTCAAGAATGAACCGTCAGTTGTCCAATTCGCTTTCCTGTCTTAAAGGATGAACATAAGCAGCTTCTTCACATTTGACAAGCTGGCGTGTTGGCTTAAAAGGCCTTAAATGATTCAGTGATTATCAAAATTGTTGCTGAATATTTTTTGCTGTGGGCCAACAAGTGGATTTAAACGAGTCAACGTAGAGCTAAGGCTGAACAGAGTGTCACCGCTCCTCATTAGAGAAACATCTGTCTGGGAGAAGAGGTGACCCTGGCTGAAATGTTAATCCTCCCAGCTGCCTCAGGGTCAGCTGTCCCTGAAATATTGATTCCTCGTGTCTCTTAAACAGGGAAAAGAAACAGCCTGGCCTCGAATCCTGCCAATGAGAGGTCCTCGCACATCACCTCGGGCATCCTGCTCTCCTTTAAATGACTCACACGGTTAAGTGCTTCTGCTGCATTACCTGTAGCAGTATAACATACATAATAAACAGATATGCTCGTGCAATATCTGGAGGAGCATTATGTTTCATCACTTATACATCACTCTTGTTCGTTCTGATTATGAGAAGCCGCTCAAAGAACCAGCTTTTTATTTATTTTCCTCCCATGTTCTTGATGCAGCATTAGGTGAATTCATCCCAACACTTCTCTCCTCCCTTCAGGCTGTATCCACTGTAACGTTATGCAATGGATAAATATAGTCTTTCATGTCCTTATTCGGACTCCTCCCAGTTAACTGCTGGGTTTTTATTCATTTTTTTGATCTCCCGCAGCAGTCAGCTAATGCCCCTTATTTAACCTGAGCACAGCTAAGCACACACTTACTGGTAATCCTCCGGCGAGTCTAACATAGGGTGGAAGCCGAAGATTAAAACACAACTTTCCCCCCTCATTATTGCAGATGTATGCGTCTTCATTTGTGACCTTTTAAGTCTTAAAACTGTGTAATGCCATTTTTTTTATTCAACACTTTTCGGCCTCTGTGAGGGACTTTTGCTATTTCTGTTATCTGGAGTCCATGTTTTAGAAACAAGTTCAGGCAGACAACTCACGTGTTTCTTAATATGTTTATTAGAAGCAGCATATAGTTTGAGTTTGGCGTCTAGGCTCGGGCCTCATCGCTCCACAGATTTACAAAGAACATTGAGGGATGATTAGATAACTATCCCCCGAGCCTACAGGTGGAAGCTGGGGTGGAAGCTGGGGTGGTGGGGGGGGCAGGCGAGCAGCAGCAACATGAAACAGCAGCAGGAACATGAACGTAGCAATATCAAGTGAACACAGCAGTGGCAGCAGCAGCATAGCGAGGCAGAGGCAGGAAGACCTGGCAGCTTAAATAGAGCGGCATGTTTAGGAGAATGTGTTTGGTTGGTTGTCAGAGGGACGAGGAGGGTCACGTGTTAATGTAGTGGTGCTCGAGTTGACTGCCTGAACTAGCTCGCAGGCTTCGCCCCATTTATGTGAAAATGTGTGTTTTTATTTATTTAACAGATTGCTCCACACCAGCCATCCGTTTCCTTGTGAAGAATGTGGAGAGGCCTTCAAACGCAGGAGAGACCTGGACCTGCACTCGCTCTCGCACCAAGGTGAGAGTTAAGGGCATTTTATCATTCACCAAAAGATCTTTATAGTAAAAAGGAGAAACTGGAAGCTAACAGAAGCACACAGCAGTCCTCTACTCTGGAGTGTTTTTCTCTGTAACTGTTTCTTTTTCAGCCTTTTGTGTCACATATCTCACATCATTTCCTCCTTTGTGACTTTTACCTTGAGACTAAATGTGAAAACATCAACAAGTCAGCATATTGGAATGAATTTATAATGTTACATTCATTATTCTATAAAAGAAGACCTGTCTCGTGATTCAATTAATAGTGAATCACACATTATGTTAAACGTATTAATTAATTCAACCAGCTCCAAACTATTCGATTAAAAAAGATTTCAGAGAGACTTTGATCGAATTTTTGTTTTAGGTCATTGCTCTACAAAAACTGCATTTATTTAACATTTGCCCAATCGGCCCAATTATAAAGATTTATATTCTAAACATCAGTTATTTGATATCAGAGAACACTAATGAAAGTTTGGTCTTGCTTTAGAGGAATATGTTGGTTGGTCTCCTTGAAAATAACACACAGCAATAACAAGTGTACAAGATTATTATTGTGATTACTATGATGGGCAAATTCCAGATATACATTGAATTCACAGGTAAGAAACCACGCCTTAATAACCTTTATCAACGTCTTCAAACAATGCATTCAATCAATTCACCTTAATTTACCTCCATTTTTGTTAGCCTTTACTGTTTGGATTTCGGTTATATCGCTTTGAAGTGTCTTTTGAACTTTATAAACTCTTTATTTAAATAGGGCTATATATCAGAATCAGAATCAGAAATCCTTTATTAGTCCCACAGTGGAAAATGTACATTGTTATCGAAAAAGGGGCATATATGCAAAAGTGGCATAGCAGACATGCAATAACACACATATACATGTATAGAAGAGTAAACGGGTTATTGTATAATAAGCAAGCTATTGTTGACACAAAAAACTGTTTGCATCTGAATCACCAGCCCTTTCTGTCGGCACCACCTGCTGCTTCATGATTGTTGTTACAACAGCCAGTAATCAACAAACTCAAATCAGTAGCACTGCCACTAACACTAAGGCCCCATTTACACGGGAAGGCAAACGAAACGCAAACGAACCAAATTCGATATCAAAAAGTCTTCCGTTCACACGGATACGGCTCAATAAATGTGTCCCTTCACACGAGACCGCTCGACCCGCTGGAGACACTGTAGTACATATGCCAGGCCTGTAAGTGGCGCTGTACTTCCGCCACAAAATACACCAAAAGCAGCGAAGAAGACCCCCGAGCATGGTTGCCATGGTTGCCCTTCTGTTTATTCTCCGCGGTGGATTTAGCAACATGTAGTTCATGTAGTTCTCCATGTCCACTTGTTGCTGATGGTTGTGGTAGAGGAGCTGTAGATTTTGCTCTAACATCTGTAGCATGGTCAGTAGCAGTAGCAGTAGCAGTAGCACTAGCAGTAGCTACTGACCATGCTCCAGCAGTGAGCTGCAGAGGCGGGGCTATGGCTTCATCATTATCAGGAAATGATCGTATAGAGGCGTACACACGGAGCCGTTTGGCCCCCCAGAGCGTTCCGTCCGCAGATCTANCCACCTTAGGACCTGTTATCGTTTGAGGGGTCCGTTTCCGCGGTTCCGTTACGGCCTCGTGTGAACGAACGGGCTATACGCGAGAGAAAAGTAGCGGATACACCCCGTTTTGTTCCCGTGTAAACAGCACCTAAGAAAGTGGATCACATCACTCCAGTTCTGAAGTCTTTACACTGGCTTCCTGGAAACCTTGCCTTAATAACCTTTATCAACGTCTTCAAAAAATGCATTCAATCAATTCAACTCACTTTTCTTTTCCTTATATTCCCTTTTGTACATGTGAGGCCCTTCCAAGATGTCTTTAGAAAGAAAAATCAAGAGCCTCTCAAAATAGATTTTCTGCTCGACGCCCTTGAAAATACAGGATATTAGTACAAGTCATAAGGAACAGAATAGACCATTAAAAAAACATATCAAGAAGTCAGACACAGGCCAGCTTGTAATAGAAACCAATTAGACGGGATGTTTGCATCATATCAGAACAGCGTGCAGTGAATTACTATTGATTAACACATCGCTGCTACAACACTCTGCCTGGGTGGCCTATCTTGTTTATTTCCAAACAAGCATCCACGTCATATGACGGATCAGGTCAATGACTGGCCATTGATCTGCGTCCCATGTGGAGCGGAGGAGCAAGGTGGAGGTAAATGAATTGGGTCAACATGTTGGCTCTTCATCTTAATCAGACCGGGCGTTGGCAGGGCAACCTCATTAGTTAAACTGGAGGAGTCAGCGTCAGAGAGATGATTGGAGAGATTGATCCATTGATCAGTCCCCAGGGCCATAGGCTGAGACTGTCCTTATTCTAGGTTGAATTAGAGGGTCCCATGTGGGCAGTAGAGTGGGTCGCCCCCACTGGGACAGACAGTACAGATGGTTAGCAGATTGCAAGATGTTGGCGAACTACAGACACGCTGATGAACCATCAGTGTCAGCGATTTCTCCGCCAGATCCTCAAGAGCAACACAGTGAGAGTGGGCTTTACTCTGCCAAAATACAACCAGGGCAACAGCTGATCGCAGCGGAAATGATTAGCTGATTAATTGGTTAACCGACTGACAAGAAAATCCCTTAATATCAAGTAACAGGACCAAGCTTTTGATTGTTCTTGGTTCTACGTTGTCAGGACTTTCCTCTGTTTTAAATATATATGCACATCTTCATAATCAGTGTTTTCTCACCAACAGTCTAAAATCTAAAAATATATATATTTTTTTTTTAGTACGTTTAAGCCGAAGAAATAATGATTATTGGACGGCCTGTCATTGATTGTATTGATATTTAAATTAGTCTGAGAGAAAAAGGGAAAAAAGGCTCGCCACAATTTCCCCAAAGTGACTTCTTCTGAATTCTTGTTCTCTACGACATTCAAGAATCTGAATATATTTGATTTATTCTATAGAAATCAGAGAAAAGAAACAAACCATCGCATTGAAAAAGCTAAAAGTAACAAGTGTTTTGCTCCAAACTAACCTAAAAAATGAATAATTTACAACCCGTTTAAAAGTCAGTTAATAACTTAAAATCAAGAATAAATGACAAAGATTTGCTGATTCTCAGTTCTCAAGAGTGGTCATTGTTCTCAGTTTTAATATATTTTTAAAAGTAATATATTGAGGCTTTGGAAATAAAAGCAGTGAAGATGTCACATTGGATCCTAGTGAAACGTTCTGAGACTCAATTGATAATAGAAATAATTGTAAGTTGCAGCTCCAGGAATAATGATTATTGGTGAAAGTGTCGATGACTGTATTGATTTCTAGATTAGCCTGTGGGAAAAGTGAGAAAATGCTCACTAGAATTTCCCCAGAGCCCAAAGTGAATTGTTGTTTTCAGCATTCCTGTTTTGTCCCAGCAGGAGTTCAACATCCAAATGAGTTTCCCTTTATTATATGAATCAAGTAAAACATAAAATCCTTACTTTGTTAATGATTTTACTGCCAATAAAAGAAAGTGTAATTTATATTCTGTCAATCGACTAAACCATTAAGTTGCCTTTTTTCACCGCAGACATTTTAACTTGTCGTAGTTAACATTAACGATGCCTCCTTCCTCTGTGGGACGTGTGTCTCAGTGAGTCTATAACTGAACATTACTTTGATTAATTACACTTGTTTTTCCTGCCGTGACGTGTCAAAATGACTTTCCCTTAAAGGGGACCTATCATACAAAATGCACTTTTTGATGTCTTTTATACATAAAGATGTGTCCCCGGTGTGTCAGGGAACTCACGCAGCGTCAGAAAATAAAACCCTCTCTCTTTTCCTCCGTACCCAAATCTCTAAAAACGGGGCTACAACGGAGCTGATCCAGATTTGCGACGATATGACGTCATATCTGAAATGTGGACCCACGGCCCAATCAGAAACGTTGCTATCAGAAACAATGCCCGACTGGTTTGGACGTAATATGGTCGGTGTTTACATTAGCATCGCTAACACTCAGAGCTAACCTGTACTGGAGAGCATGTGTGTGAAGAAGCAGGAAGTAAAAAGGAACTCACCTTGTGGTATAACCGGCAAGAGAGAAAGCCTTTGAGCTCCATACTGTTTCAGAGATAATCCTTGATAATCCATGATATGGCGTTTCATCACGGCAGTATTTAGTTTAGACAGTAGCTGCCGGGTCCCGCATGAGCTCAGCCCCCTCCTTTTTTATTTTGTATCAATCTTTTTTTTTTTTTTTTAAAGCTTTATACCCCGAATCAGCACTTTTGAAACAGGAAGTGAAATAGAGGGACATGAGGCATGGCTAGAATGAGTGATCTGTTTGGTATTTTGAGCAAAACACTTCATAGACATGTTTTTTATATATTTGTATATATCTGAGACCTGTGCTATTGCCTAAACATAGCATGATAGGTGGCCTTTAATGTTGTTTTGTGTCTCGACTTTTAGTTGTTTAACATCTATTTTTAAACATCTCCCACTTCATGTGATAATGCTGTGTAGTCATTTTCCAGCTCGGTGATTGTTTAGCATCTTATTAAAATGAATTGAAGTTATTGTGAGTCTCTCTGTAGTAACTCAGTATCTGTCTGTGGTCATTTTGCAGCTTCAGTGGATACTTTTTGTTGTCTTTTGTCTATTTGACTGTCTATTCTTTAAATTGACTTGAATCGAATGTAATTTTTCTTTGTTTAAAAAAAGAAAGAAAAGATGGGTTGTAAACTCAATATGTTACCTTAGTTTTGACATTTGAAAATAGTATGCAGTTCATTAAAAAAACTAAATCCGTCCCAAATACTCCAAACATAAGTGTGTTTGATATGAATAACAGTTGGACGACTAATGTGATAGACACCTTGACAATAATATCCATTTGATAATAAATGTTTCTCAGGGTACATGAAGAGAGAGTAATTCACTACAAACTAATAAAGAGTACTTATT